TAAAACTGAAAGAAATATATAAGTTCATCTGATACTGCTACTTTTGTTAATCTCAGGAAATGAAGTAATTCACTGAATTTACTAAGATTCTGTTCCGCTTGGCAAGCCTCTTGCATGCCTCCTGGTAATGCTAGCCTGGCGATCTGATCTCCGTAACAGAAACAGGAGGTAGAGAAACCTTCTTCAGTCCTAAATGAAGCATCACTTCAGAACTTGAAATCTATTCTTGAACATTTGAGCCATTCAAAAACATAATTTTTAAGAATCCTTTCCCATTACTTTAAGGACTCGCAGACTGAAATATTTTTCATTTTCTTTGTTTCTTTGTAGAGGAAAATACCCTCTTTGCTGTGAGATTTTCTCACATTCTAAGAAAACTTATTTCAGTTTTAGTTGTCCAAGGAGTCATGATTCCCCACTTTGTTTTAAGTTAATGGATGGCCCAAATCTTTTTAATTGTTTTTGAAATATACAGACTTCCATTATTTGAATTTTGTTAGCCATTTTTTGCTTAAAAATTTTTTTTTAGTACAGAAAAGTATAGTAAGTAATAAAGGAAAATCCCATAATCTCCCTAGAATTCATCTCTTAGCTTTTAGACCGCTCACTTTTTATATGTTTTTGAAGGGCTTCATATTTGTATTATGATTATGAATAATACTTCCAAGAATCTAAATAAGGAATTGTAGAGCTTTTATTTTTGAGGAAAATTGTTGCTGGCCAGCCTTGTCTATGTCTTAATAGTATACTGCTAAAAACACCTAAGAAGGACAAATATAAATATATTTAGTGTTATGCATTTTGACAGATTTATTTTTATACAGCCAATGCAGTATTTATTTTAGCTTTTAATGCTGATATCTACCAAACTTGTAATATATCACAATGCAGCATATTCAAATGATTTTTAGCAGAATATTGGCTGGGGTCAGGGGTGGGGCAGGGTAAGGATTTTCTTAATGTTTGACCTTTACCACCTTCTTAATTATATACTAGGAGAATATAAAATGTACCCAGGACATTGGCGTACAGGGATTGTATTTAAGAATACTCTAACTTTATTTTATTATTAAATTTTGCTTCCTCAACAGTCTTAAATGTAGAACATAAATTGGAAAATGGGAGTTTAAAAAGCAAAATACAGAATTTATTTCAACTGCATTTTCACTTTTCTTTATGCTTTACATGCTGCACGCAGACATTCTGATGCATGATGAGAACAAAGGATTTGAAAGCATTCACTTAAATCTTCCTCTTTTTTTCATTGTTGGAACAGTAATTCCATCTATTATTTCATACTGTTTAGACCAAAAGCAATCAGAATAACCCATCAACAGAAAATATTTAGAGGTCACTTTTTAAAATATCTAAATGCTCAATTAAATTGTTCTGCATCTTGCAACCAGTTTTTTTTTTTTAATCAGTTCTGTATTGTATCTTTTCTAAATCTATAAATTGAGGACTGTAGCAATGTTCTAGGAAAAACACATTTTATTACCTTTTCTAATCATTTTCCTCTCAGGATAATTTTTTGTAGTTATCCTAATAAATGGTATGTAGTCATGTTAAATGAGAGAAATTCCACTTACATTTTAAAATGATTGTTGAATTGTTTCATGTCTTGTTCTTTAGTATAGCCAGCTCTATACTCCAAAATCGTACTGTAAGACACGTTGAGAAAGCCCTGATGGTAATCTTTGTGGTTATTAATTTAGTTTCCCTGAAAGTTTTATATCAACAGCAAAAAAGGGAAGCACTTTTAACTCCTTTTAGAAGATGCTCTTATGTTATAACTTAATTGACTCTGAAAATTGTCTTTAAGAAATCTCCCACAGCCTTTCCCTTGGGAAGAAAGAGGACTGCTGAAAATACTGTCTCTTCTAATCATGTTAAGAGGAAATGTTGCCTTCCTTAGAGCACCTGACAAACCTTAACCTTGGCAGGGATGTAGGTGTGCGCTGCAGGGTTTCTCCGCCCCACACTTCTGGGTTTTGAACAGCATAAGCGTAGCCTGGGAATAGATGTATATGCGCAGAAACAGTCAGTGCATATGCAACCTGTAATTTATCAGTCTGTAGAATAGATTTCCTTGCACTGGCTTTTTTTGCCTTAGTTATCTCTATTGACTGGCTATTTCGAGGGATTATATAAACGAACTGCCAGGAAAATTACAATTCATTATTTATATTATTCCAGAGAATCCAGTAATTTGTGTTGCGTATCTGCAGGTACCATGTAATTTTTTCTGCTGAGCATATGGCAACATATTGCTCATACTAGGTTGCTTCCAATTTAGAAGGTAGTTTTATGGAAAAACTGGGTCCCTATCTAACTTTTCCAATTGCACCCTCCCCTACCCCCTAGCTTACATCATTTTTTAGTTACATGGAGAGAAATGCATGGAGGGCAGGTGGACAGCAGCTGCTGTATAGACTGAAGAAGGGCTAGGAGTGGCTGAAAGCCCTGCCTAGCATGCCCACCCCTCCCCAAAACACACTTTGTCATGAGCAAGCTGTTCTTACTGGCAACTTGTAATTCATAGCACATTTACAGGTCAAAGAGATATTCACTCAGTATATGTTTTAAATGTTTAGTAGAGTCTCTTTGGATTTTGTTTTGCCTAAAGAATAGATTTTTCCAAGAGTAAACTTCATTTGTTAAGCAAGGATTTACTTACCTTTGGGCTTTGCTCACTGTATTTTTTGTTACATTTTTGAAGCATGGTTATCATCTCCTATGTGAATAATATCCTAAATTACTTTTTAGAATGGGTAGGAGAGCTAGATGTTTATATATGTATTTTTTTGTGGGCATAACTAGTCAGATCTTCCATCTGTTTGTCCTGCAATGATAAAAATCAGCTATCACTATAAAAGGCCCAGGGACCTGGGAGATAGAAGGAACTCAGTGTTAAGCACCTGCTGTGTGCCATGCAGAAACAAGACACTTTCTATTAGCTCATTTAATTAGTTAATCGCTTATAACTTAACTCAGTATAACTTTATGAAAAATGGACAGAAAATGTTTTGAACACTATTACAAATGTCTTCATGAATATTCTTAGGAGGCCCAGATTTTTCGCAGCAAATCATAATGTATAATGCTGAGTGGAAACAAGCAGCAGCCTATGTTTTGTATACTGCATGATGCCAATTTAAAATACGTACAAGTAAATGTTGGGAAAAAAGACATAGATGGAAATATAGGTAATTATCTGTGGTTATCTCTGAACAATGGGGATATACACGATTTCTAATTTTTCTATATAGCTTTTTAGATTTTCTCTATCATGTGTGCACTTTATAATCAGAGAAAAGTTAATTGAAAAAAATACATGAACCAAAAAAAATGAACTTTATGTTCCTGAGTTCAAGAATAAACTCCCTAGACCTATAAATTAACAACCAGAAAAATTAATCTTGGTTATGGCCAGTTCTTCAGTTTTGGCTACAAGAGAATGCTGATACACATTTCTCACACCCAGCAATTTGTTGAAATGTTTTTATTGATCTCCCTCAGTACTTTTGTGATAAATTCCTGTACCTAATCTAAATGGTCAATAAGATTGCCTTTAGAAGTGATTTGCCAAGTCATCTTGAATGAGGACACCTTGGTATGAATTATCCAGAGAAGCAAGATTTTTTCTGAAAATCCTAATAAACTAAATACTGAGTTAGAATTACATTTCAAACATTACTAAATGGTAAATTCACTACTCTCTTTTCCCCAGACTCAAATGAGAATTTATGGTGAAATAGCAAATTCTAAAGGCTACTGAACATTAGAGTAAAATGTGTTTGACCTTTTTGATCAAGTATCTAATAGTAATCTATATAATAGAAAAAATTATTGTTTCTGTATATTAAGAGAAATATTAAAGCATACTTAAGTTAAAGGGCCATCTGGGCTATTTTGGGAATCAAAAGAAAACATAGTAACAAACAGCTGATAGATGGAAAAGCATAAAGTCCTGGAGAATCTTGGATTTGGGTAATGCCATGTGATGATTATAAGTTAATTCCATTTTTTTTTTTTAAGATTTTATTTATATTTTGACAGAGAGAGACAGTGAGAGAGGGAACACAAGCAGGGGGCGTGGGAGAGGGAGAAGCAGGCTTCCTGCTGAGCAGGGTGCCTGATGCGGGGCTCGATCCCAGGACCCTGGGATCATGACCTGAGCCGAAGGCAGACGCTTAATGATTGAGCCACCCAGGCGCCCCAATTCCATTGTTTCTTAGGATAAAATAGGCACCATGGCATCAGTAAAATAAATTGTCAAGTAATGAAGTTGAGTGTTGAAAATTGACCTATTTTGTATTTATATGACTTTAGAGAAATGGCTTGGTAAATCCCACAGATGCTGAGAATCAAAAAATCTTATACCTTCTATGTGGAAAAACTTTAAAAGGAAAGAGTATATAGTATCTGTTCAAATATTTTACTTCTCTATAGTTCTGAAAGAATACTCAAATAAATCTATTCACTTTTGCTTTGGGGTAAAAGACAACATTTTAACCTCTAACCAGTATACATATTAGTTTCTGCAAATGACAAATTAATTGATAAATCGTGTTCTATTACGTGGCAGCACATATGTGTGCCAATAAATTAGGATTTTTCCTTCTCTAAATACTAATAATGCACCTTAATTTTTTATTCCTTTTTTTCCCCCTTAATTAATGTCCTTGAGTATCTAAATCTGTGCTGCATGTGGCTATTTAAATTTAAATTAAAATGGAATAAAATTCAAAATTCAGCTCGTTTTCACTAGCCATATTTCAAGTTCTTGAGAGCCACATGTGACTAGTGGTAACACTAATGGACAGCTCAGATTCTAGAACTTTCCAACATTATAGAAAGTTCTATTGGATTTCACTGATCTAAACTGTCAGGACAATTTAAAAATTCTTGGGCATGTTTTCTCTATCTTACAGTATGCTCATGTTACCTCAATTACATTTTCCTCTTATGTTACTTCATTTTGTTTTTCTGTTTTTCAGTTTAAAAGGATGCTTAATCGGGAGCTCACCCATCTCTCTGAAATGAGTCGGTCTGGAAATCAAGTGTCAGAGTATATATCAAACACATTCTTAGGTGAGAATAATAATTTAAATGCAATTTTAAAGTTTTCTTTTGAGTTGTTTGTTTTTGGAGGTGGATTGGGGCACCAACTCATTTTGGAAACCAAACGAGTATTAGGATTCCATTTGTTTTCATTCATCCTATTAATAATTTGAGTATCTAAACCTCTAAGCTTTGGAATCTAAGATGACAAAATACATTTTTTTATCTTTTAGTTTTATTCAGGACTTCAGGGATTCTATGGATTCAAGTTGTAGGTTGCCAGTTTTTCCAAAGCACTAAACCATAAAATGTGTTTTACAGAGAGATCTATGCATGCATTCAACAAATTCTTGTTAAATTCCAGACATTGCTGGGCATTTGTTAATGATAAATTAGAAATGGTCCCTGCCATAATGAGTTACAGTCTAATGAACACCAAGCCTGGTAGACTGATGAGGCAGATATAATACAACTAAAGAAGAGCTTGCTGATAATAATATTGACAGGGTGGTGTACTGGGCCACCACCCCACCCCCCATCCATGGGAAGAAAATTCATTTAGTGAAAGTCAATAATGTGAACATATCCTTGATTTGAATTTATTTTCAAAATTGCTGTAATCTCTTAATTAGCACTCTCACTAAAGAAACATTTATTGAACACACGCTATGTGCAAGGATGAGTTAGAGGAGCTCACTGCCTTGAAATAGTTGATGAAAACACTGAGGTATCTAATGTTTTTTATTTGAAAACAACGAATCTGACAGTTACTTATCAGATGATGCTGGAAATTTCCTGTGCTCCCCTTGTTACATCATAACCATTATCTCACTATAGCACAGAAAATATAAAATAGCAGAAACAATGTAAGTCATTCAGATATACTGTTTGTATTCTTACATTATGACCTGTTTCAGTAAGCCTTTAGGTTCACCCAGTGCTGTTTTTATATTTGTGTATGAAGTTCCTTCCTTTTCAAAATAGGTATTAAAACTGGAATCCTTAGGTGGCAAGAGCAGTTTCCAAGCCACTAAGTGAATTTCAAACAGGGACAGAGTTGATGAACGGTGGAAATAACCAATACGTTTTGCTTTTTCCAAGTCTGCTATCATAAGTCTTGCAAAAAAATTTTATTACAGCATTCCATCCAAGTAGTAACCATTGAATACATTTGATGTTAATTATTTTGCAGTGGGATTTATTTGTTCAATTTTGTGTTGGAGGGTATCATAGTAGGCCCATATCAAATTGTAAATACTCAACTTCTCTAAAAGAAGTGTTTCTTAGAAACATTTTCTGGAACATATCATGATTAATTAAAACCTGTCCAACTATGGACGTTATGATTAAAAAATAACAACTCAGGTAGACTTCACAGTAAATGTAGAACCTTTTCTAAATTTCTTCAGATAAGCAACATGAAGTGGAAATTCCTTCTCCAACTCAGAAGGAAAAGGAGAAAAAGAAAAGGCCAATGTCTCAGATCAGTGGGGTCAAGAAGTTGATGCACAGCTCCAGTTTGACGAATTCAAGCATCCCAAGATTTGGGGTTAAAACTGAACAAGAGGATGTCCTTGCCAAGGTAAGATGATTTTAAGGATCATGATTATAATATGTTGGGATGCCTTTTAATGAGTTTTGATTCTTTCTCTTTTAAGTAGAAGGACTAATTCATTAATTTGTGGGGTCCTTTTTTTTTGAAAGGTGGCAAAGTACTTTATAAAGCTCTTTACAAATTATTTGGGTGTTATTAATATGTGGACTTAGGTGGTTTGGTGTATGTGTTTGTTGCTTTTTTACATCTCCATTTGCTTGTTTTACCTTCAAGAGTTAGAAATATTTGGTATCTTTTGGGTTTCAGAAGAATAGTTGAGGTTTTATGAATAGATTTTATCTATTGAAGAAATGCTTTGAAATTGATAGTCAAAGTATATAACTACATTGTATTGTCGGAGGCGTTAGGTTAAAGCATACTATTCAGTTTTCAGTACATTTAAGTGGGTTTACCTAGAAGTTTGCCTGTATTTATGGGGTGCGTCCATTACATTTAAAATGAATCTTTTTTTTTAAACCTAACACTCTTTTTATTAAGGTCAGTAACATTTAAATGAATGTGTTAATTGATTTATATTCTACTTCTGCTTCCTAATTTTTTCAATCTTTCTGTAACCCCAGGAACTAGAAGATGTGAATAAATGGGGTCTTCATGTTTTCAGAATAGCAGAGCTGTCTGGTAACCGGCCTTTGACTGTTATCATGCATACTATTTTTCAGGTAATGTGGTTAAGTTCTATCACCTTTCCTTTATTGGGTGACATAATGTCTGGTCTGTGAAATGTGCTTGTGTTTTATCTTCTTTACTATTCACTTTCTTTTGCTTATTTTGATGCTTTTTTTCTCATTTGCCCCTTTACCAAGGGACAAATGATAACAAAGTATGGAGTATGGGTCAAAGACAACTAAACCAATTTTGTTATTTTTTCCATTCCAAGAAGTCATGTGGGAAAATTAAAGCAATTCATTAAAACAAGAGTTTAAAAATTATCTACATGACCTGATTTGCATAGAGAGTAGAGTACTAACTAAAAAATGAATAAGCCCCTTGCTGACTAACCTTAGAATATAATTTCTTCAATTGCTCTTTCTTGTACTGCTCTCTTCACCATGTCAGTTTCCCATTCTGTTGAGCTTTTGCCCCTACTCAGGATTAGAATATAAATGAGGAGTTGAGGCTGTAGACAACATGGGACTAGCATGGCATGTTCCAACCCTAGAGAAAATGTTGAGTTCCAATTGGTGTGATCCATTAGCTAAGTCAGCGGTACTGGGCTGAAGCTGCCTTCATGATTATCAGACACAGACACTTTGACAGTTGGCAGCTTATTCCCGACACCATACCTCTTGAGGAAAGCACGTGAGGCCCCAGAAGGACAGCCCTACCCTGGCTTTGTCCCCAAAGCCCCTGGATATTCTCAAAGGGTTCCATTTTCCTCACTAGATACTGCAAGAATGCTATTTCTGTTTCTGGGTTATCCATAGGTGACACTGGTGTGATTTTTCTGTTAACACACTCTATGGAAAATATTTTTATGTGAAAACAAAATGTTAAGAGGATTTCCTTTCCTACAGGAACGGGATTTATTAAAAACATTTAAAATTCCAGTAGACACTTTAATTACATACCTTATGACCCTGGAAGACCATTATCATGCTGACGTGGCCTACCACAACAATATTCATGCTGCAGATGTAGTCCAGTCAACACATGTGCTGTTATCTACACCTGCTTTGGAGGTAAATCTGGTTTCTAAAACTTTGAGACCACTAACCCGCTACTCATAAACATCTCTTAAACTTCTATACTGAAGGGTGTATGGGGCAGAAAATTAATGGCTTCATGGGAAGTATGTTGAGTTATAGGGAAAAAATGTTGTGATTAATAAACAGTTCAGTCTTTGATGAATTTTGCCTGTGAAAGTTGATCAAAGATTTAGGGATTCATCTGTTCATGATACTGCTTCTTTGAAATGACCTAGTGGACATTCCATAAGGTACATCTGGCTTATTCAGTTTCACTTAGTTTTTTTGGAATTCAGCCTGATGCCTTTTACATTTATAGTTCAACAGATGATATTTATAAAATAGAGACAATGCTTTGATATTTTTCATGGAATTTTTCAGAAAGAAACACATCTTTAAGTCTACCAGATGTTAAGAAGTTGTTCCATTAAATGTTTATTAAGACAGTTTGATTTCCTTAATCATTTAGGGGAAAGATTCTCTTTTGCTGATATATTTTATAGTTCAGTTTGTTTTCATCATAAAATTGTGTTAATACCTCATCATCTGAGTAAGTGGTTCTCTACTGGGGATGGTTCCTCCCTATTCCTCCTGCCCTGACCCCCCCACCCCCAGGGACATTTGACAATATGTGGAGACCTTGTTGTCTGTCACAACTTGGAGATAGATGCTTCTGACATCTCATGCTTCAGGCCAGGGATCCTGATACTACAGAGCACAGGATAGCCTCCCACAACAGAATAATCTGGCCCCAATTGTCAATTCTGCTGAGATTGAGAGTCCCTGTTTGAATGAAAGAAAATAATTGCTCATGTCATTAATTTTATGTACATTTTCAGGACATCCTTAAACATCTTGAATACTTTTAAAATAAGCTATTAAATATTTTGAAGCTTCATTCTGTTTTCCAGCAAATTCTAGGAAGTAATTTCACATTTGTATATATCTTCCATTATATTATTACAGAATAATAATGTTATCTGTCTTGTCTGATTTTATAGGCTGTGTTTACAGATTTGGAGATTCTTGCAGCAATTTTTGCTAGTGCAATACATGATGTAGATCATCCCGGTGTGTCAAATCAGTTTCTGATCAATACAAGTGAGTGAAGTTTGTTTTTGCAGAAAAAATTTTTCCTTTGTATGTTTTAGAATGACTGAGCTTGTTTATAAACTTGGGATGTTTCCAGGGCCATAATATTCTTTTGGGATGTGTAAATGTGCATTTTATTGATAGTGTGTATTAATGTAACCTAGCTCTGAAAATTATCATTCTATCCCATGAGGCTTATGTTGTTTGAAAAACATGCATTCCAGTACTTCTCTAGAAATAATATGTTAGTAGACAAGGGTAATCAAAAGTGAAAGTTTGCAGAAAGATTTAGATAGTTATATTGTCCCTAAAGTTTGAAGTAAAAACAGGAAAAGTTAGACCTTCCTCACTTTATTTAGGTTGTCATTTCATCCTCTTCAGAGGCTGTGATTACTCTTTCCTCATACACCACCATGCCCAGCTCTGTTCTTTCCTTTTTACATCTTCTGTTGAGGGCAGTAAGAACATCTCTTTGACTTTTTATCTCTTTTGATTTCTCTTTTATTTAAATATTTTTAACCATTAAATTTTTTCTCGAACCCATGACATTTCATCAAGTAAGAAGTCAGCCCTTGGGACGCCTGGGTGGCTCAGTCGGTTATGCGTCTGCCTTCAGCTCAGGTCATGATCGCAGGGTCCTGAGATTGAGCTCCAGGCTCCCTGCTCAGTGAGGAGTCAGCTTCTCTCTCACCCCCCAGACCCCCAGCCTCTGCTCATGCACATGCTTGCCTGCTCTCTCTCTCTCTCTCAAATAAATAAATAAAATCTTTATTTAAAAAAAAAAAGGCATCACTGAATTTGGACATAGGAGTGATAGAGACTGTTTAATATGGGGCATCTCTGACACACGGCTTCATAGAAAACCTCTGTAGGGAATGTTTAGGCAATACTTGAGCTATGCCTTTGCAAAGAGCTTTCAGTTTTACAAAATTTCTATTCTTTTGATACTTGAAGTTAATTGGTAAATGATTTAAATGTAGTAGTATTTAATTTCCTCCCACCGTGCTATATCAATGTTATAAATTCACATTTATATACAAAAAAAAATGCAAAGTTGTTAGAGAATTTCTTATATCTATTAAAAATCTGCCCCTTTTTTGCTGTGAGATTGTGGATTAACAGCCTTCTTGTGACTACAGAAGTCGAACTCTGTGGCGTCTTTTCATTCCCCTTTTATTCCCTATACTTTGCTGTAGCCAGATTTAAAGAGGCAATTTAAATGTAGCCTCATTTTGAGAGATTTAACTCAGATCTTTAAGATTATTTACGTCTATTTTTTATATCTCAATTGCCTCTAGACTACTCTATAACAAAATGCACCTCTGTGACTCATTTTATACGTAGGAGGGTTGGGAAGGTCATGAATTTCCTGAGAGGTGTGGTTACTCAAGTACATTTTAGAAGTTTGGTTTATGAACTTACTAACCCAGGATTGGAGAGGCTAAATCTCATGTTCCAGCTATCTTATGAGAACCTATACTGGGCTGCTTTCAAGAGTCATCAAGGCATTACTAAATATTAACACATAGCTATTCATACACATCAGATGCAACTATATGAGTTTACAGTATCAGTGCTTAAGGTTGAGTTTACAGTATCAAGTGCTTAAGCTTCTCCTTCTGTGAAGGGCAGAGAGGTCATATAGTACAGTGTGCTGTACGCTGGTCCTTTTCCTTAGCCTGACCCGATTTATTATTTTGATTCTTATGCATGCATATCAAGATTTTACAAAGACATAAAAATTTTGTTTTAATGTCAGCCTTTAAAAAAAGATATGCGTTTTTTTCTTTAAATTAACACCCAAAATAAAGACTGGTGTGTTATCTTTGTATTCTACTCCATACACTACTTTTGTTCTCTTATTGTAGCATTACAATTAAGAGATTAGAGAACAGATTAAAACAGTGGATAATAAAGTCACTGTTTCCAAGTACTCTGATAATGCTTTTAAGAAAAATGAGGACTGGCTCTGGTATTCTCTCTTGTAGACCCCCTAAGGTCAAATGGGCTTAGGCTGGCACTGGAGAACTCTGGCAGGCATTAGGGTACCCATGGAGTGTGAAATTTAAGTAGCAAGGCGTCAGTCCACAGATGAGTCTGATGCCCTCCAAAGTTTGAGACCCTCTGAGATAGATGATGAACAGATTTAGGGGACACTAATACATACAGTAACAGTGGCCTCTTTAAGGTCATTTTGCTGATGACCTGCCTGAGGTGGAAGGGTAACTGATCCTACTTCTGGAAATACTTTGTTATTCAGTGATCGTGGGATGATCTCCTTTCTCCGAGACCTCAGCAACACTGGGAGGTTAACAGTTCCCAAAGCAGCTTTGGATCCCTAATGTTTTCTCCAGGGTGGGGTGTGAGGAGGCTGTGTTATTCCTGCGAGAATGAATCATCATCATCAGCTGGTACATGAAAGTATCCCAGGGTGGATCAGGGCCCCAGATCGTTACGAGAATTCAAGGCCTTAGTTAGCTTTTGACTAGGGGTCATGCCAGCAAGCATTTTATTTTAGGACGCAGGAGAGGTTAATAAGTAACCAGTAACACAAGTAAGTTTGAACTTCATAGCATTCTATAAAGGAGTCTCTCTCATAACTTGTAAACTTGTAATAAATAGCTTTGTTTGAAATACTCTGTCAAAATTATGTGATTATTTTTAGTTTGCTGCAGCCCCCCCCCCTTTTTTTTAATATATAGACATTAAGTGCGTGTTTTCTGTTTTTTTTCATGGATTGATTGAGCCTCAGTGGTTCAGACTAGCACTCTCACCTTGGAGCTGGTGCTGCCAACTTGTCCAAAGCCAAGGGTTGAATCTGTTTCTTATAATAGAGAAGTCTAAAGACTTGTAATCATCACATTTACATACCCATAGTTGGGAGGTCACTTGTCCTATTTTAAGGAGGCTCCAGAGGCACAGTGAGGTGGCATGACCACCTCTGGTAGAAGGGCTCTGGAGCTCACCAGGCTGCTTCCCAGTCCAGGTACTCCTCTGCTTCTTGGTGGTGACAACAGTTCCCATGATTTGTTCCACTTGTAGGCTCCAAATGATTTGATACTAATGACACGTACACTCTTGGTAAACATGCCAGGGGTTTTGAGAAACACATCATTTCTACTGGCAGAGTTGGTTAAGTTTTTTAAGTGATTTGGGGGAATGGGGGAATCCGAGTAGGATTTTAAGAAGTTGAAATTCCAGGGTAGGGAGCTGCGTCAGTCTTTTTCAAGGACAGTACATGTAAATAAACCCATAAAATGTAAATGGAATCATAAAGTTTTGAATAGAACATGCTGGAGAGTATTTGTCATAACAAAAGCATTTGACTTCACAGCATTATTTTCTGAAACAATAAAGTACCGTCAAAAGTACAGACTATATATAGTATTACATTTTACTTGGAAAACAAGTAATTTTTGTTTATAGCAAGGATGCCTAAATTTTAGGGAAAAAGATTTACTCACATTGGTCATGTGTTCAAAGCATATGGCTTTGATTTCCAAGAGCAGAGACATTTCACTATATTAAAGTGGAGCTGTATTTAGCTACCAGTATACACGCTGTTTTATTTCTCTAGTCTCATTTTAAAATAAGCTTTCCATAGCTGTATCTGTGGATTATATATAGAATGTTATTTTTCTGCATAAATCTAACACTTTCATAATAAGGATAAATTCATTTTTATCAAATGTGATTATATAAAATACTACAGAGATTGATATTTTATTCAACAAAAAAATACTGAGAGCCTACTCTGTGCCAAACAACGTTCTAGGCATTAGGAATATATGGGTGAATGAGGTAATGGCCTGGCTTTGAAGAGCTTGCATTCCACTGGAAGAGAATAAACTGTAACACATGAATATCAGATGGGACTAGTCCCATGGAGAAAAATAAGGCAGGTTACAGGCATAGGGCGTTAATGAATTGAGGGAGTGAGCCAGTTTTAATCCTTTGTCCTTGGCAACTAGATCTTAAAACTACCACTTCCCTTCCCTGTTTCAAGGAGAAATATTTTGTTCAGAAGTGCTGGAGAAACCAGACAACCATGCACATTACATGAATAACTTTTCATTTTATATAGGGTCTTAAGTCTCTAAGTGGGTTGGGAGGTCTTTGGAAGAGATTGTTAAGACTTGAACAGAGATAATGACAAGTCAGGTGGAATGTGATCAGCGCCAAATCAGTGGTACAAATTATAAAGGACTTTATAGCAAAAAGTGAGCAGTTCTGCCTGTGGTAATCAGGACGGGCTTCATGCAAGAGGTAACTTGTACTGGGCCTTGAGGATGAATGGGTTTCAACAGAAATGTTCTATCAACTATTTTCTCACCCACCCCCACCCCCACCACCACCTTCCTGTACCTTAGAGCAAAGTGTGAAGGCAACTTTCTGGTGATTCCCGAACCTTCAAGGACTCTATGTAGAAGTGCTGCAGTAGTGTCTTTGGAGAAAAACTTCTCAGGAGATGCATAATCTTACCTCCTTTAGATGTGTCCACGTGCCTTCAGCCCTAAAGAGTAGAAAGTTAAATGACTACCCTGAGATTCAGTTGCTTAAATGCTGCCACACGTTCATTTAAAAATCAGTGGTCTTCACCACCTTCTTGTTAACAGCCCCAAAACTGGAGAGGCAGGGGAGACCCACTTGTAAGGAATCTTTTCACCACCTTTCTGGCCAGTCTGGATTCTTAGTAAACGTCAGGAGCCAACAGCTTTCCAAGGCAGGCTTCGTCAGGACTCTTGGACTGCCCTCTGTGTGCAAGGCCATCTTTACATTGATTAGAATTGAGACTTGTTGTTAGAGCATCCATACCACAGATCACCCTCTTCCTTAAAGTAACAATCCTCACCTTGTTCTTCCGTAGGCTCCACAGCCTTATTTTCTTTCTTTTTTCTTCATGAGGTATATAAACCTGTCTGGGTTTTTGTAAGCCTGAGTCAGGTTGGTGCATTAATGCCTCTTATCTATATGCATATTTATTCCCTTACGAGAACCCTAAAAGTTGAATTGGGCATTATTTGTCCAGTCAGAAAACATTTGCCTTCTTTCCAATATATATCTATTTAATAGGATTCTACTGTAGAAACAAAAATACCAGGGGCTAAGATCCTATATAGTGTTAATTTTTTTATTTCTATGTTTAACATCTATAGATAAATGTTCACAGTTAGAAGCTTTCAGAGACCATTTGAAAGTCAGACCTGACCAGATACTATCTGAATGAATGAGTGAACACTATTGTTTTATCCCCCCAAAAGAGACCGTACATACCTACTCCTTGGTACTCTAAACATCTCCATTCCTGTAGTTTGAGAGCAAAAATTTAGATGTGTAAATTCCTATTTCTATAGTCCTGGTAAATTCATAGGATTTCACAATAGAAATATGTCTTGAACCTCTCTTTTCCTTCCTGGTTCCTTTAAAATAGTCATTGAGTAGCATTGGGTATTTGTTTCTTAGAAATGAATATATATTTCCCAGGCATTAGTCAGGAAAAAAGATCAAATACATGTGCTTTTGGTCTTTACAGTGACCTAAGTGGAAACAGAATAAAGCACCATTTTTTTTTAATGACTACCTTATGGGGTTGGTCTACTATTTACAGGAACCAGGAAAGGAGCAGGATCTTACTGCCTAAAATACAAAGGTCCAGGGCAGTCATAAGGGAGCAGCAAAATCTTCACCATGGAGTTATGTAGGCAGCTGAACACCTGTCTCTGTGAAGTCACGAGCATGCAGGTGGGAAGGGCTATATATCTGTATGTAGCGACGGCCATGGTACTCGGGAAAAAACATGGAAAAAATGAGTAACACTTCGACTTCCAAAGCTGTGCTATGGAAAAAAATGAGTAAGAGCAGATGAACAAATCTAATATTGTTCATTTGTTCCAGACTGTTCTTGAGTATAATCCTAAATCACAGGATCCTTACACTCTATGAAATGTTGGGAAGGTGGTCCACAGTTAGCAGGAATGTGCACCTTATGCTGTTGAAATGTTACAGCTGTTAGAAATGATGCCATGTTCTGCTGCCCATGGAGCTGCCTGTGGCACATCTGGAGGGGAGGTTCAAGAACATTCCGCCCAACTCTTCTTCCACTTTAGAAAAGCGGCAGCTGAGGACCGTAGACTGAAATGACTGGTCACATGTCAGTAGCATTAGAATTCACCCCCAAGATTCCAGTGCTCCTTTCCACGGTTACACTAACTAGTGTTTTCTCTCCTGGGTGGTGTCATGTCATGGTAAGGCTAACGGGATGCTGAGGGGAAATTGTTTCTTAAACCCAAACTGTCTCAGAATATGAAGACCAAGATAAACTCAGAAAAAGTGGCTTTGCTTATCTTCTATCTCCTTTCTATCTTTCAAGACTCCGAACTTGCCTTGATGTACAATGATTCTTCTGTCTTGGAGAACCATCATTTGGCTGTGGGCTTTAAGTTGCTTCAGGAAGAAAACTGTGATATTTTCCAGAATTTGACCAAAAAGCAAAGACAGTCATTAAGGAAGATGGTCATTGACATTGTAAGTAGCTGATAAAAGCAAAAAAGAAAGTTGTAATACAAGTGGTTTTTTTAAAAGAGTAAGAATGAGGTGAGTATCAGGTAAATGGAACCCTGTGTTTCAAAACTTCACGCTGCCCCTTACGTTCAAGAAGCCGCCTGTGCTGTGCAATGAGGTTCTCCAGTAGGTTTTCTCCTTCCAGCGGTTTGGAGTTCAGAATAGTGACAGCTTGTCGTAATCATTCTAGTTTAATTTTGAACTTCTCCAGTCTGGTGGCAGGCAGGGAAAATGACTAACAAAAGCAGTTAGTTCAAATGGATTTTCTCCACTTGTGAAATGGAAAATAAATTTATGTCAGTAGACGGTGCTGTTTGCAGACATCCATGACTTCTCTTTATGCATATTATTCACGGTAATTACGAGACACAGGAAAGCCTCTGGTTATCAGAAACTTACTGTGTTAAGCTTTGTACCTACAAAGGTAGGAATTATCTTCTTGGAACAGCAGAAAATTAACCATTTTCTGAAGTATTCTGTGAGCAACGTTGAATTACTTGGTCATAGTTCAGGGACCACTTTCTAGTCCAAGGAACAGAAAAAACTTCAGAACATGTGCTGATTTCTTATCTATGGGGATCTCATCCCCTTTCTTCACCACGAAAGTGGTTGCTGGGTGCTAACCTTCTGTATATTGCACATGTTTATCTGGGCTTCCAGAAAACCTAGAGCAAAGCCCAAGAGGCTGCCCGAAGGAATAGTACAGAATTCCCATTCACTGCTGTTAGATGCCATAGTGTTCCTCCATTTCTTTCACGTTCTGTGTTAATGTTTTCATGTGCAAATTCTGGGGACTTTTCCTCTGGACTTTGTTACTTACTAAAATACTCTTTTAAGGTACTTGCAACAGACATGTCAAAACACATGAATCTACTGGCTGATTTGAAAACTATGGTTGAAACTAAGAAAGTGACAAGTTCTGGAGTTCTTCTTCTTGATAATTACTCTGATAGGATTCAGGTAAAACATCATTTGAATTTGTTCTGTGTTTGTGTGCACATGTCTAACTTTGTTAAGAGTCTAACTTTGATAAGATTTTTGTTTCCTTTCTTCCAGCTTATAATTTTAGTAATTTTAAGCAGAATTTTTTAACCAAATTCTTAATCTTGAGAATTAACCAGATAAAATTCTATTGGTTTTTTTCATTTGCATTTGCGTTAAAAAAAAAAAAAAAACCTAATGCCTCACAAAACCGACCACTTAAGCAGCCCTGAATTTAATCAGCCATGCACACATAAGCAGTTTCAAGTGATATTTAGGTATGGTGGAAGGGACATTATTGGGGGCTATTAATACAAGTGTGAACCATACACAGACACATCATAGTTGAGCTGTTTGGAAGGAATCTTACACTACATGTATTTTTAAGTGTCACATTCATCCACTGTGACTTTCTATTAAAAAAAAAAAAAAGAAGCAGCAGGTGCTGAATAAAGTGTCTCTTTTAATAGGTCCTTCAGAATATGGTGCACTGTGCAGACCTGAGCAACCCCACGAAGCCTCTCCAGCTGTACCGCCAGTGGACGGACCGCATCATGGAGGAGTTCTTCCGCCAAGGAGACAGAGAGAGGGAGCGGGGCATGGAGATCAGTCCCATGTGTGACAAGCACAATGCATCTGTGGAAAAGTCACAGGTGATGCATTAAGCATAAACTTTGCAGAGAGAACACAACTCCAACCTGAACATTTGATCGCTTTGTATACACATCACACAGTATTTCATTGGGTCTTTAAAATTACTTTGTTTTTGACAGGCTCAATTTCACTTCAGTGTTTATGAGCCAGAAAACTCTCATTCTTATTATTTTTATTCATATGGTCATATATTCATTTCTCATGACATTATATTTATCCATTATGACCGTATTCATATAGTATACACATATATAGAGATTTTGGGGCCATCTGAACTCATAAGTGAACTCAGTTATATGAAGCCATATAGAGTACCTGGTCTGACTTTACTTATCTGGACTCACCTATAAATTGGCCATTCTAAAATAAAGTCCAGGTCTAATGCCCAAGCCCTACTTATATATAAAGAAAGGGAAATTTTTTACATCATAAACGTACTCTTGAACTAAGAGTTCTTGCTAATTTTCACCAGCTAGTAACAACACTTTTATATGTTCTATTGCCCAAAATAGTGACTATTATACCACACTCAGGTCAGAAGTCTTCTGTTCAGTGTTATGTTTGTGGGCCATGTTGTATTTTTTATATTTTAACATAAATTATATATATGTATATAAATTGATATAATTAGATACATAATCAGGTATATTTGTAGGATCTCGTTCACCTTTTCCATTGTTTCTTAGTCCCAAGTCTTATACTCAAATCGGAATTTTTTTTAATAGGTGGGCTTCATAGACTATATTGTTCATCCTCTCTGGGAGACATGGGCGGACCTCGTGCATCCTGATGCCCAGGACATTCTGGACACTTTGGAGGACAATCGTGAATGGTACCAGAGCACAATTCCTCAGAGCCCCTCCCCAGCGCCTGATGACCAGGAAGAAGGCCGGCAGGGTCAAACCGAGAAGTTCCAGTTTGAACTCACTTTAGAGGAAGATGGCGAGTCCGACACCGAAAAGGACAGTGGAAGTCAGGTGGAAGAAGACACTAGCTGCAGTGACTCCAAGACTCTCTGTACTCAAGACTCGGAGTCTACTGAAATTCCCCTTGATGAGCAGGTGGAAGAGGAGACAGTGGGGGAGGAAGAAGACAGCCAGCCCGAAGCCTGTGTAATAGAAGATCATTCTCCTGACACGTAACAGTGCAAAGAATGTCACGCCTTTTCTTTTTCCTTTTTTTTTTTTAAGTAGAAAAATTGTTTCCAAAGTGCATGTCACATGCCACAACCATGGTCACACCTCACTGTCATCTGCCAGGATGTCTGTTGAACAAAACTGACCTTGACTACGCAGTCTCGCGCTCAGGAATACTGTAACCAGTTTTTCACCTCCGTGTCATCAGAGCAAGGGGGGGACATCTTCACGAACAGCATTTTAACAAGACTTCAGCTTGGTAAGAGCTGACAGAGCAGAGAAAATCAACTCTAAAATGTTTTCAAGGGAGTGTGGCTCATCCAGCAGCCCAAGAGTTGATAGGCTTTGGGGTTTCTTTACTTTTTATTTGTTCGCAATATTTTCAGCAGAAAGAAGGCATTACACAGACAGAGTGAACTCATGGATGAAGCAACAAATGTGTCAGGAACAGGACACAGCACGAATCTGTTACCGGGAGGAAGATGAGCCACAGAAATTGCATAATTTTCTAATTTCAAGTCTTCCTGAAACATGACTGAACAGTGCGGTTCAGTGAGCTGCACTGACCTCTACATTTTGTATGATATGTAAAACAGATTTTTTGTAGAGCTTACTTTTATTATTAAATGTATTGAGGTATTATATTTAAAAAACTATGTTCAAAACTTCATCTGCCACTGGTTATTTTTTTCTAAGGAGTAACTTGCAAGTTTTCAGTACAAATCTGTGCTACACTGGATAAATCTAATTTACGAATTTTACTTGCACCTTAGAGTTCATAGCAATTAACTAATTTGTAGTGATTCATTGTTTTATATACCAATGACTTCCATATTTTAAAACAAAACCCAACTTTATGTTGCAGGAAACCCTTTTTGTAGGTCTTCATTTACTTGGCTTTCATTTCAGTCTTTTCAGAGTTGCTCCCACTGACATTTTTTTCACGGTGTACAAAGTAAATATTTGTTCTGTAATACTTTGATGTGCATTCTGTCTACTGTGTCTTAAGCCTCATAAACAATCATCAGTTGGTGTTGTCTGAAGCAAGTAAGAGATATATAAATACCCAGTAGCTAAAATGGTCAGTCTTTTTTAGATATTTTCCTATTTAGTGTCTTCTGGTAACTTTTTGCTGTGTCAATAGACCCTCATCTCACAAGTGCATGTCTTTGTAATAACCCACACATTTTATGCTCATTTTTGTTTTCACAGTCAGTTGTAGTAAGAAAATCTTTTTCCCCTTGTGCTGCTTTATTCTTTAGTGTGTGTATGAATCTCTGTCCATGTTCACTAGATGGGGTCTTATCAAATATATCACCACCATTCTGATTGATTAAGAGAAGGAGGTAGTCAGGCTAGAGTCACCATTCATTTCGACCACAAGGCCATACATAATGACTAACTTTTACTCTTGATTCATAGAGAAAAGTTAACAGCTAGCTAGGTGGTTTTTAACAATATTAGCAGAATATATTAACAAACAAACACCACTACAACTAATGCTCTGTTTCCATGATTTCACCATGGGATTAAGAACTATATGAGGAATATTCTTGAGAAGGGATTTTAAGCGTAGCAACTACTCTTCCTTAATTGGACAGCCACGTAATGTAGAAATTGCTTTCTCAGTTACCATTGGTCCATAAGTATGTCTTGTAGAGGAGAACTTTAAATGCACCGAGGGAGAGAAGTTGATGACGCCATTGGCACCAGAGGTTTGGTAATATAAGGCCATCCTGAAATACTAGGTTGGGTAAGAGGATTCTACCAAAGTAACAGAGATGGCTCTTGGCTGCATTTAGCACCAAGAAATGTATTACAATTTTTGGGATTACTTCCCAGTATTTACCTTCAGTTGGCATCCTGTGGTACTTACTTACTTTGGACTTTCTTCCCATTTCAGCTCTTAATAAAGTGTTTGCCTTCTCTATGAAGAATTTGGAGCCCAAATAATCATTTCACATTGATATCCAAAAATTGAAATAGAAACCAAAAAGGTTATCTGACCAAATGGAAAATAAACTGTCAAGAAAAGTTGTAACCCTGAAAAACATTTATATTTGGGATTTCTCAAGGAGTCTACTGGGGACTAATAACTAAGTCATCAGCCTGGGAAATGACCCAAAGCTGAAGATAGTCCCTATTTTAAAACCCTGAGATCCACAGGGGAAACTTTGATAGAAAAATTATGTAGCTCAGATCTGTTCTTAGAGCAGAACAGGAGTCAACCAATTAATTATCAGATTTCCACTCTCCTCTCCCTGAAAAAAAATAAGTAATCTTTCAAATAAAGTCCTGTGTTTAGCCAAGTGGTTTTGCAAGAACATTTGGAAACTTGTTTAATTTTATTTGTCCTTGATGGAGGTCTAAAAAAAAGGCAAACAATCTAGAGCTTATTCCTTTATCCAAAATATTGTCATTCCCTCCTCTCACTAATGCTTGGTATTTCCCCCACAGAGTGCCTAAAATCTTAATAGGAAAAAAATTAAAGTAGCAATATATCACAAACAAATCCAGACCTGGAAGGATTTGTAACTGCATTGAAAAACAGAGGGGGTTTTTTTGTTTTGTTTCAGTTTGTTGGTTAATAATGGTCACATGTGAAGATACTGGTGGACAATCACATTGTAGAAAAGGCATACATAATATCTAAGAGACAGGGACTAATGCACTGTACAATCTGCTTATCCTCTCCCTTCTTTCTCTTTCCTTCTCTTTCGCCAAAGTGTGCTTCAGAATTATACACTGCTTTAAAAAGAACATCCTTATACAAGTGGCTTTACATTTCCTAAAATGCCATAAGAAAATGCAATCTCTGGGTACTGTATGGGGAAAAATGTCCAAGTTTGCATAAAACCAGTACATTTCAGCTTGCAAGTTACTAAACACGATAATGCTGTTTTAATTTTCTTTTACATCACTTAAGATTCACAAGAAAGTAATGTAGATAGAACAAATTGCAGACAAGGAAAAAAAACTTGAATGAAATGGATTTTACAGAAAGCTTTATGATAATTTTTGAATGCATTATTTATTTTTTGTGCCATGCATTTTTTTTCTCACCAAATGACCTTACCTGTAATACAGTCTTGTTTGTCTGTTTACAACCATGTATTTATTGTAATGTACATACTGTAATGTTAATTGTAAATTATCAGTTCTTATTAAAACATCATCCCATGACGGGATGGTGTTGATATATTTGGAAACTCTTGGTGAGAGAATGAATGGTGTGTATACATACTCCTTGTACATTTTCTTTTCTCCTGTAATATAGTCTTGTCACCTTAGAGCTTGTTTATGGAAGATTCAAGAAAACTATAAAATACATAAAGATATATAAACTTAAAAAACATAGCTGCAGGTCTTTGGTCCCAGGGCTGTGCCTTAACTTTAACCAATATTTTCTTCTGTTTTGCTGCATTTGAAAGTAAGGTAATGGGTGGGGGGGCTAGGGCTGGGCATTTTACATCCAAGCTTTGAACCAATTGGATTTCAGCTGGAAGATTCTGAGACCCTTCTGAGATACAAGCTTTTAACTTGCCACGAAGCAGCACTGCATACGTAACGATTCTTTCAGGAGCTCCTTCAGGTAGTTACATCTGATTGTTGGGTTTTTTTTACTTTCAAACACTAATTGGGAAAATATGTTCTTGTCCAATGATAACAAAGCCTTCTTGGCTTCTTAAGCACATAGGCAAATGAACTTGATTTGAAACTAGAGCCTCAGGCCATATGTGTTGGTCAGTCATTTATTCATCAGCTTCCTGTTACGAGAATATGTAATAGGAAAAGATCATTTTTTTTTAACCCTAGAATTTTCCAACTAAGACCAACCAAATTTCCATAATGTGTGTAAATCCTAGATAAAACACAGTTTTTATATGATGCCAATTCACACAAAAACGATTCACCGTTCTCTAGAATTTGTTTCTGCGAAACTGCTATGGCTTTTGAATTTTAAAAAATTAAACTTGGAATAATGGCCAGCTCCCAAAAGTTATGAAAAATTCCCACTGGGTGGCATGGAAACTGCCTCCCACTCTTGCCCAGCCCTCAGAGCACTTGACTTAGCGAGAGATCCTTTTTCCAGGAAAAAAATGAGCCTCCTGTTATTTTATTTTATTTTTTTGACACAAACTGTAGATTTTAGCAGCCCTGGCCCAAAGGAATTTGATTACTTTTGTTTTAAACAGTACAAAGGGGACACTATAATTATGAAAAACATCCTTACTGATTTTGGTTGTTTTTAATTTTATTTCTTAGGATATGTTTTCAGAGTGGTAAATTGTGTGTGAGCATTACAAATGATGATGATTCTTTTAGTGGTTTCTTAGCCTCTCTTACAGCCCATGGGGATAGTACTGTACATCAATACCTTCATATGAAATTTTTATATGCAATGAAAATAAAAGCATGGGTTGATTCTGCCTATTTATGACTCGATCTTTTACAAATAAAAGACTGTTCATTTTAAGTTGTAGGTTATTCAGCCCAGGTTTTCAAGAGTGATGCAGATGGACGAAGTGAAATGAAAGAATAGTGGCATAAGTTAGTACTGATACTCATAATCAAACAAAACCAAATTATGTCGATTCACCTTGTTCTAAGGGTTCAGCAGAGAACAAGACAGTCTCTGCTTTCCTGAGCCAGACTCTGGAAGGGGCACAGGCATTAAACCCTTCCAAACGCAGGTCACCATCAAGTGCTCAGTACAAACGAAGAAGCTCCTGTGCTGTGATTAAGCGGGCGCCCGAACTTCATCTCTTCTGGACGGCCGAAGAAGGCTTCCTTAGGAAAGCGATCTGGGACTGAGTGCTGAAGGGTAGTGAGAGGTAACCAGGCAAGAAGGGAGAGTTGACAGGAAGAGGAAGGGGGGGGAGGGGAGGGGTGGTCCAGATGAGAAACCACTTGCAGAGGTCCTTAGGTATCAATGAGCTTGAGAGCTCCGGAGAAATGGAAGGAAAGCAGCCCTCCCCCGTTACTCTTTATTCCTTACCCTGCTTTAATTTCCTTTACAATGCTTATTACAAACTGGCTTATCTATCTGTGTATTTGTCCATTCTCTGTCTCTCCCACCAGAACAAAGCTCCATGAGAGCAAAATCTGCTTACATCTGAAACCAGCCTTGTGGACTCTTAAGTGTTTAATACTTGTTTAATAGAGCCCCCAAACTGATAACTGGATAGAATTCAATCTGATAAAACATTTTGGGGTCTTAGAGAATTTGTTAAGTTGATACCATAAAAATATTCTGGTGGTTGTTTTTGAGCTTGCTAAGATCCCAGATAAATAAAGTTTAGAGGTTTTTTTTAATCTTATTGCTAGCCAAAAACTCTGCTTGCCTCTTCCTCACAATTTTTTTTCTGCATGACAAAAATAAAAATCCATTTTTTGTGATGAGAGTAAAAATTTCAGCAAAAATTTAATCCCCAGAACCCTCAAAACTTAAATAGAATAAGTATCACTAAATAGAATGATATGCCTAGCCACTCACTAATTTCCTCCCACTACCACAAAGAATGACAGTGACTATGGCCACAAGGTGCCCAATTGACACCTTTAGGGAATTCTTGATCTAAACCCAGGGTCCATTCCTCAGAGTCTATGGTCCCAAGGTGAGACTTTGGGACCAAAAAACCAACTGCGTTCTTTCCCACTTGTTCCCCCAAACTGATTTAGGTCAGTTTGGGTGTGTTGAGCCCATCTGAGTTTAGGGCTTTCACCTGGAGACATTTCCTCAGATACACAGCAACGAACTTAAAACAGCAGAACACTACACTTGGGGGGCAGGGGAGGGGCCCACTTCCGGTTGCCAGAGCGCTCCACCAGCAGTGGGCACGCACTTACCCACAGGGCCTCGTTTCAAAGGAGTTCCACCTGTGCTTTCCCAGCTTCCTGATTTGGGCGCCATTTCCCCCACAAATACTCAAGGTCAAACTGAGTGCAGTGGGTTTGAATCTTAGTCCATGGACTTGGGTGAGCAAGAAATAACTACTTTCATTTCAGTCAATTAACTGGGGCTCCATGTCTTCCCAGGGTGTTGGGAATTTCCATCTCTGTCATCATTAGCACACGCCCCTCTCTCCCAAAGTAAAGCTTCTCTCATCTCCCTCTGAGCCTGAGCACCTGGCCTCTGTGTTGCCCAGTCCCTGATTCCTTACAGTCTGTCGGCCCTTTGCCTCCTAGTCACGCATTGATAAACCAGTAATATAAGCTGAGGTTGGGAACCCCGTTTGGGGACCTACTTCCTTAAACTCCTTATGTAGTTTTTGTGTCTAAAGAGAGCCTGTTTTTTTAATGTCTCTTTATTACTCACTCAAGTGGCTGCAAACAACAAGTACTCTCCTTTTCCTGATCCCAGGGACGCTCTCTCCACTGGCCTCTAGTGACTCCTCTCTCCTTCCTTCCTTATTTTGCTCTTCATTGGAATTAAACTTAAAAAGAAAAAAAAAAGCCTAGAGGTGATTATGACTACTGTCTGTCCCCCCTCCCTCCTCTACAAGAATCCTGCCTACCACTTGAAATATGGAGAAGAAAACGTTATAGGAATAGCGTACTTTAAATAATAGTTCAGCCAAGCTAAGTTCTCAGGACACAAAACGAAACAAACAAGGAGGCAGTTGCTATTCCTGGAAGAGAAAGGGATGGACAACCACGGAGTCAGGATCTGGAAAGGAAGAGAGAACTTGAAATTTTACCTTCCTCTTCCAACTGGGACTGGGCACGGCGGAGATCCAGGAGAGCGGACTCTGGTAAGAATTCGTAAGCCTTGCGGCCTTGGGTCAGGTTTGCTAAGATCCCACGGCGGGGCTCCACAGTGAGTGGGGTTTTAAGCAGAGAGTGTAGCCCTGGTAGCTACTAGAATTTGGAAAGGTTTTCCATTAATTTTAGTTTCCCCTTTGCTGTTTAAGGGGACTGGTAGCAGTTTACTGGAGAAACCCTGGGAGTCCCGTCAACCCTGAGTGGGGCTCTACTTCACGGATAGATACGGGGGCTTTCTCTTTGGTGGGCAATTGTTTGACAAAAGCTTCCCAAACAGTCCATTTTCCTTTGTCCTGCTTGACTGCGAATTTGGCTCTGAGTTCTGGCCAGCGTCTTGATGAGGCACGCCTAGCAGGGCGCCACGGCCGAGGCCCAGGTGTTTCAGGTGTTGACTTTGGAGGGGTTGCAGCTGTCAGGTAACTCCTTTAGTGGACTTTCGTTTATGGTCTTGTCTCTATCAACCCACATAGCCTTAGGGAGAAACAGAAGTTTCTCCAAGAGCATCTTATAATTCTTCCTCTCGTTTTGCTCAGGGTCTTAGCACCATGGCCTTATATGGACTCTTTTTCTTTTATAAGAGAAACAGAAGTGTTTCTCCTCTATCAACGCAGACCTCAAGAGAACTACAGAGTTCAGCTCCAGGTACAAAGGCCAACCACGCCTTCCCGCCAGAACCACTCCCAGCCTGCCCTACAGCTGGGCAGTGGCATTCAAAGGGTATGCTGATGGGCAAAGAGACCTCTAAGGTTTTTCTTGTTCAGATCCCACCAACAGAGCTGCTGCGCCTATCACAGCCGGGTCCCGGCGGCAGGGGCCTGCGGGGAAACCATGCATAGCCTCTCCCCAGGGGCAGTCCAAGGTACTGGTCTAAGTACCCAGCGCTAGTGCTGTCCTGTCAGCACGAGAGGGCTGAGGGCTTTGTGCTGTCCCCCCGCCACCCCCCACCCCGGACTCCCGGAGAAACTGGGAGATCTCTGGCTGGCGAGAGACACACCGGGCTTTCAGATGCCTCACCTGGGCATAGTCTTCAACTAGCCTGAGCTCTGGGGTTTTTTGTTTTGTTTTTTCTGGTAAGAACTGCTTCACCCGTTAGTTTTTTGGGGTTTTTTTAACCTTTTCTTTTTTTAATTTTGTAAAAGTAATACAGGTACGTTGTTTAAAAAGTCAATTCTGACCTGATCCATTATGTGTTAGTCGGCTTAGGCTGCCCTAAAAAAATATCACAAATTGAGTGGCTTCAACAAAAGAAGTTTATTTTCTCACAGTTCCGGGGTCTGGCAGTTCAAGATCAGTGTATCAACAGGTTCGGTGTCTCCTGAAGCCTCTCTTCTTGGCTTGTAGATGGCCACCTTCTCCCTGTGACTTCACACAGCCTTTCCTCTCTGTGTCCCCATGCCTGGTGTCTGTGTGTAACTAGTCTCCCCTTATAAGGATACCGATCAAATCGGGTTAGTACTACATACATGACCTTACCTCTTCAGAATACACTATCTCCAAGTAGAGCCGCGTTCTGAGGTATTGGGGGTTAGGGTTTCAACATAGAGACTTGGCGGGGGACACCGTTCAACCATTAAGAGCCAACAAAAGGAAATCCTTTACCTGCTGCACCGATTTCTACCTACTGAAAGCCGAGACCCCCTTTTACTCTTTCTCCCTGCTTTTACTGCCATATTTGTAAATGACTTGTTTGCACCACTACCTCTTGCCTTTCTGATTTTAGGTATACACTTCTGACTGACAAATGAGGATTTCCCCCCAGATCTCGTCCTCACATGCTCTCTTAAAGTCTTCTACTAGAATTCTATCACATGTTCTGGTTGCATTATTATTTAAAAGTTTGCATGGTTATGGTCCTAAAAAAATAATTTACAGCCAATCCATGTCATTTATTATAATTACATTTCCATTTTTATGTAGCTTCTTTCCTGGAGATAATTATTTTATTTTTTTTATTACCTTAGTTTGCAAAACCCTAACTACTATTTGTTCCGTGCACTCCATTGAAACAAGCCTACTTTTATTGGGGTTGAACACGTCAGGAGGCATTGGCTTTCAGTCTCCCGTGCCCGCTCTATCTGGGATGGTATTCTCTTGGCATATGCTCTGAGATCTTGTCTTGACTGCTGGCTTTGAGGAATCTGTGTTCAGCATCCTCCTGGACAGTCGCTTTCCTCCTGGCTCTACTCGATCTTCCATTTCCTGGATCCCGATGTTTTTAGTTGGCTTAGTTTATCTATTACTTTGCTTAGTTTGGTATAGCTCATGTATTAGTAGCTTCCTAAGAAAGGGTGCATAGCAGGTAAGTTTACAAAACTTTTAATATGAAAAGGTTTATTTTTATTTTACCCTATTTGGATGATAGTTCAATAGAGAATTATGAGTTTCTTAACTAGTAGGACAAGCAGATTACTTTGGGGGAAAGCCCCAGATATGTGCAAATGGAGGGTCACTTTGGAAAATGATGGGATCATTGTGGGCTTCCTGGAAGGCTTGGAATGACTTTGAACTTATATGTCAATGTGGATAGCCCATTTGCAGACTGCTTATTTACCTGATAATTTCCCCTAGATTTTGGAAACTTCCCTGCCCCCCAACTCATTTGTCCATCAGCTCCAGTTCCTCTGAAACACCAGCTGAAAAGATTTTTCTCCTTTAGTCATATCCCATAATTGGCAGTTTGGTTTGCTTCCGCTTAGTATTAGTAATCCTTGGTGATCGTCTCCTCGTTGGCATCTGTATGAAGTGTTTTATACTGCTGTTTGGGGGAGGCTGGAGCATGTTGTCAGAACTCAGTAACCTTTAGTTTAGTGTCCGTGCACTGGGGGATTCTCGGGCTGCTCGGGCACTCGTGGGAGTATTGCATTTGTACACACCAAGAACATCCTGAGAGATCCAACCCTCGTGCGCCATTCACAATAGGCTTCCTTTCAAATAGCTTTCCATGTGATTTGAAAGAACATATTCCCACACAGTTTTTCAAATGCATGGAAAATCCCTATCATTTTCCTGTCTGCACCCTCTTCACAGGCAGCCCACATAGTTCTTTGCTGAATATGAAAGAGAGACAGAGGGATGGGGGCGGGGGGGGGCGGGGAGAGGGTTCTACAATGGCCTTTCCTGCTTAACTGCTCTGTATAAGGTATACTCCTTCCCCTAGGAGGGCGTGAAGGAATAAGGAGTGAGCACAAACTCTATTCCCCACTAATGTCACCACCCCCACCACCCCCACTGCCAAAGAAATGCGTTATGCAAGCACTTCCTTTTGTGTCCATGAAACACTTCTAACTACAAAAGGAATTTTAAAAGGAATACATGCTCATTGTTGAATATTTGGATAGAACCAACAAGCATAAAAGGGGGGGGGGGAAGAGACTCCGAATACCACACCCAGAGCCAACCACCGTTCATACTTTATCATGTTACCCATGAAAGATTTATTTAATAATTCATCAGATATTTATTGGGCACTTACAGAATACCAGGACTTATTCTAGTTGCTGCAAATACAGATGTAAAGAGACAAGGTCCGTGCTCTTGCAAAAATGTGTGTTCCTTTCCCAGCACGTCAACCTCTGCCCACTCTAACACTTGTTCTGTAGTCAGTTAGGCCTTGGCTGCAGTGGAGCGTTCACGGACACCCTGTCGGAGATGTCTCCAGACGTTCTATCCCCTACAGCCCTAAGTGATGTAGGAAAGACATTAGGGTTCGAAGCCAATAGCCAAGAAAGAATTCTTGAGATGTCTTTGGTGCAAAAAGGTGGTTTTATTAAAGCACAGGGACAGGACCCGTGAGCAGAAGGAGCTGCACCGGGGTCATGAGGAATGGCTCATATACCCTCAAGTTGGGAGGGGGTTAGGGATAGCATAAGTCTCTAAGGAATTTTGGAAGCCAGGTTTCCAGGACCTTGAGGAGGCTAGCTGTTGTTGAGAAAAGGTCATTTATTACCGTCTAATAAAACCTTAGTCATGAGACCCTTCAGATGTATATCGGTGGGCCATCTGCTTGGGGGGTGATTGCCAACACGTGTCTTGGGGGTTAGAGATAAAGGAAGTTTCCAAAGGAATTTTTATATGTTAAAGTAGGCTTACAGGGTCCTGGGGCAGGGGGGTTCAGGCTAGGATTGCCTTTTGCCTTTAGCAAAGTATTAACATCGAGGCAGCTGAGTCCCTAGAGGAATGTCTCTCTGCCTGTTTCAAGGACTTGTCAGTGGGCTGTAGGGAGTAAAGACGTTTAATAAGTTCTCTTCTGCCTTTGTTTCCCACATCATTACACAGCCCCCTCCCCTGGGGCTCTCCAGGCCCTGTTAGGGATCTTCCTCCTGTCCAGTGGTGATGTCCTGGCCTCCAGCTGGACCCGTGATGCTGGTGAGATGAGACTGATGGAGGTGCTCACCTAAGAGATGGCTTGTCCAGAAGGATCAAGATGAACACAAGACAGCAAACAGCCCCTCAGAAACGGGGAAAGGAAGAGTTCCGTGTCATCCAGACAAGAGCAATTCCTTTGGTGTCATAGGGGCCCCAGAGAGCTGTCAGGGGCTGGAGGGCCAGGCTGGCATGCGGGTGATCTGGGACGGCGGGGAGGCGGTGCGCTCACCAGAGGCCCTAGTGTTGGGGGGAAAGTCACTGTTTTGTTTTGACTTCCTTATGAGACAGAATTGAGGGAAAACAGCAAGTGGAGAAGGTAAGGGTGAAGGTTGAAGGGAAAGGGTTAGAATGAAACAGGGTCCCTGGGGAAAGATCCAGGACACAGATCAGAAGGTCTCCACTCAGGGTTGTGGCTGTCCTGAGAGGTGTTTTGGAAATGTGTGGGACAGTCTGGAGGGTTGAGGTGATTTATCGGAGAGGGGGGGCACGGATTAAGGCATTGAGTGGGCAGAGCCCTGGGAGGTAACATACTGTGATGGGCAACATAGGGGAGGACGTTTCTATGTCCTGGACAGCTTTCAAATGACCTGCCAAACAGGAGGCTGAAAAACCTGTTTAGAATCATCTGAGCCTGGCACCTAATTCTGGTTTTCACATAAACAAAAAAGAATTTTTATGCCATGTTAATATAATTTTTCCAAAGATTCAACTGTTGTGTAAATTGAGGGGAAATTATACTGTATTTTGTTGAGAGTTTTAGCAAGGGTTTATCATTTTGGGGATGGTGTTTTTGCCCCTCCTATTTGAGTCCCGGTACCAAATACGTGTATCAGCCTGCACATGCATAACGATCATATGTGACTCAGCAGGTGCAAGCATCTGTGTGCCTAATTATGTATTCAGTATAGTAGGGCCGGAACTTTTATGTATTGAAATGTTCATTACGACCCTTTAATTTCCCTTTTATTTTGTAATTGCAGCATTAAATCAATTACAATGTAAGTATGTATCTTAGGTAGGTTAGATTGATTTCTCAGTAGTAAAGAGCAAGAGGTTTGCAAAGTATTTTTTATAAAATGAGGCCATTGGATCTGATTCAGTTGAGGATCATGAGCAAAGATAGAAGGATGAAGCGGGAGAAGCCACTGGACGCTGCCTCCGGAAGGTCAAAAAGGTGGATGAGATACACATGAGGAGAAGTAGGGAGGACATGCGGTTGAGGGAGTTATCCTGTGCCTTATCCTTGGTCAAGTTGGAGGTTAGGATGTGTTCAGAGTGAAGAAGGAAGTGAATTTAATAAAATCGACATAAAAGAGAGAGGGAAATCTAAAAGAGTCTGTTGGAGGGAATGGTGCTGCAGATCGTGGGAACATTGCCAGGCAGTCTTGAAAGCCCAGCTGTGGTTGGAAATCACAGATTTGTTCGGAGCCTCATCGGCACCATGGTGAGAGCTTTGCCAGGGCGCTCAGCAAGAGTGCTTCTCTGTGGGAGCACAGAGGAGCATGGCTGAATTAATTCCGGTTGGAGTTTCCCAAGCAGGAATGACAGAAGAATAAAAGGTCAAAGATATTATGTGTATTAACTAGCAGACTGAGTGGTGTAGCAGTGAACCATGATTAGAGCCAAAAGTGACGGCTAAGAAACTTTTATGACCTAAAGGACCCTGGTCAACACCAGGGGCCCCAGCAGTGGTACATCCTTCCTCTTTCTATTCCAACAGTGAAATCAGCTTTATTCCCTACTTGGTTTGTTAGTTGGGGGAGCTCTTTTAAAATATTTTTCTCTGTTTGGCCAAATGAAATTTTTGACACTGGCTTTCATGGGCTGCCATTCTCCCAGGTTGCCGTAAAGAAAAAAATCCAGGGTTGACAACTTCCGTGGCCTCCTATTGTAAATGGTGGTGGGCTTTGCTAAGCCGAAGGCAAGTGTTAACAAATCCAGAGGGAGAATAGCCCTTCGGTGAGACGATCAGTAAAAACTAAGTGGCAAATAGGAAATATAGCTAATGGAAAACTCTTGGTTTGAAAAGTTCTGTAAATTTCCACATGTACTCTGAGGAGTGGGGCTCTTTAGAATCAGGAGGGAACTTACAAGTTTCCCGTTTAAATTTTCATCCAAATTTCCATTTCCAAATGTTGAAATCCTTTTTCTCAGACACCCACATCTCTCTTATTGGGGGAGGGGTCTCCTGGGGGTGGGCCCAGGGCCCTCTCACCGCGCCCCCTGTTCATTGGCACCGCTCCCAGAGTCCTGTGGGGTCATCACACCGGGCAGCTCAAGTGGGCTGGGGCAGGGCTCCATGTGCAGGGCCTGGAAACTTCATCTGCCTGGGAGACTAGCCCTTCAGTGGCTGGGGTCTGCGGCCACCCAATCTCACTGGTGAAACCACACTCTCCCAGCACCCTGCCACCATCCAGAAGCTGGTCATCCCTGTAGAGCAGCTGCATGTCAGGGCACCGCTTGAGGATGCCCTCAACGATGCGCTTCAGCTTCAGCACTGGCCTCCACTCCTTCGCCTCCGTGATGATGATGGTCTTGTGGCACTGGATCAGGAGAAACACATCCTGGGGGGCGGCGGGCCAGCGTGAGGGGGGATCCCTAGACCCCACCTTGCAGGGCCTGCCACCCCCCGCCCCTCTATACCTTCCATACCCCCCCTCATCCTGCCCCAGCCCAGCCTCCAAATGTTGAAGTCTTAAGTATTAGCCTCTAGCTGCATAATCCAAATCCCAGCCTGTTCCCCTCTGCTCCTTAACTACAGAGGAAGCAAAAAGGAGTACAGGAAAGGAAAAGGGTCGCCACCCGATGCCCGTATTTAGATTTGGGGACTAAAATAGGGAGTGAGGGGGAGCGAGGGGAGAGTTGACTCACCAGCAAAGTTACTGGAAGCTGAGGACATCTGGCAGTTGGCAGGCAGCTCAGTGACATTGGGAATGTCAGGGGCCCTGGGGGATGGGGGCACGAACTGTGCGAATTGATAGGGGTTGCAGACCAATGTGGAAACTAATACTAAATGGCTAATAAGTTGCTAGGGATTCCTGCCTTGAAGGATCATGACTAGAAGTGACTAAAACCAACAAGAATTAGGGTCATGAGTATATCACAAAGTGGGAAAAGGGTATAAAGAGGAAATGCACAGAAGGAAAAACCCAAATGGCTAATAAGTATATGAACAGTTACATAAACACTAATAATCATAGAACTGCGAACAAAAATGAGTCGTTGGAGACTGGCAAAAATTAGACACTGAAATAAAACATTGGCAACGATGTGGAGGCGTAGGAGGCCTCAGACATCGCTAATGGCCGTGCAGACCAGTAAAGCCATTCTGGAAAGCGATTTGGCAGAACTTAATGGAACAAACGTGAGACTGCTCTGTGACCAGGGATTGTTTTCTCAACATAGACCCAAGAGAAAGTCCTTTAAAGTTTCTGTAGGGACATCACCAAGGACACCGTCATGGTGGTGTTCCTGGTAAGGAGAAGTTGGAAACCTTCTAGGCGCCTGTCGCTAGGGGAGTGTATGGGAAAATGGTAGAGGCATACAGTGGTCTGCTCTTCAGTACTTAGAAGCAGGAACTAGATGTGCTCAGGGTAGAAGGATAGATTTTTAAAAAATAGAGCTGAGTGAAAAACCAAAGCTGAAGAAAGAGAACAATACCATCCACAATGTGAAGCATATACAGACACAGTAAGTGTCCCTGAGTATTTTGCAAAGATGCTGTATTTATTTAGGAAATTAGAATGGCTATAACAGAAGCACTCTAAATGATCATACATTAAACTAGATACATTTTTTTCTCTTGTAAAAACTCAGACGGGCAGCCCACGGGAGTACTGTGACTCAAAATCACCGAGGACCCAACTGCTTCTATTCTTGTGCTTTCCCACCTCATTGTGGCTTATAGGTCCAGGTCCTCTGAGGCTGCTTGATCTCCTCCCTCACCCTCCCAGTTGGGGCATGGGAAGGAAGAAGAGGAAGGAGAAGTACACATTTCTGCCTATAGGGCAACCTAGAAGTTGACACGTCACTTCTGCCCGTGTCCCATTGCCAAAATTAGGTGCTGTCGTCAGCCTAACAGCCCACTACAAATTCTGTTAGTGCGTAAGGGAGACAAGAAGCAGCGTCCATCACAAACATGTACATAAGTAACGCAAATCAGGCACATTAACGTGGGGACCCGAGGAGGGAGGAGGGAGAAGGACATTTATATGAAACAAGAAAGCGTCCTTATGTGGGTTCATGAGGACAGTATATCACAAACTAAGACCTATGACTAAGGCATTCCTCTGCACCTGGAGTTCATTTAAAAAAAAAAAAAAGGAAGAGACAAGGAATGGAAATGGAAGGGAAGGAAGAACAGAAAAGAAAGAAGGACGGCAGAGTTTCCAGTCGTGTGGAAAGTTCTCAGGGGAGCGGTATGGGGGACTGACACTGCACCGTGAGTCGCAGCTATTCCAGGACCAGAGGGCACTGTTGCTAATAGTCTCGTGAAACCGCCGAAGAGAAGCCATGTTGGCCTCTGATGTCCTAGGTCAGCTCGTCTTTGTGTCCCTGCTGTTCCCTGAGCAATTCCAATTGCTTGAGTGCACAGAGAGCTGGTTCCGTGGAAGATCAGGGGTGGGATTTTCCAGGCTGAGGATTCTGTGGGTCAGTGAGCTGGCCATCCTCGCTTGCAAACCCCAGGAAGAACAGAGAGATGGGCAGCGGGGCTAAACTCTCATGCTGCCCTGCTCTGGGGAGGAAGGAACGAAGAGGAAGAAGCAGGCTCACCAGGCTGCAGAGTGTTTGGCGGGAAAACACTGACCTGGGTTGAGAGTTTAGCAAATCCCATTTGACTATTGCCCAGAAGAGAGGCCTCAGTGATTATGCTGTAGTTAACTCAGAAGTGGCTATAGTGAACATCATTAACATATACATGTATTATGGAAGTCAGTTATTTTGTATTTAGACGACCGCTCTCAGTGTCTTTGGTAGAATAGAAAGAGAGAGTAAGAATAGCTTAGAAACAATACAGCTGCAAGGTCACGTTCTTGTTTTAATCCTTACAGATGAGCAGTCTTGGGCAGTCACTTAACCTCTTACAGCCTCCCTTTCCTCACTGGCACAAGGAACTGAGCAGTAGTCACCTAGCAGGGTTAGTTAGGACACTGTAGGTAATGCCATTAAGTGTCTGCAACGCCTGGCTTCCGGAGGGGTCCGACCATTATTACCATTGTCCACTAAATATTGGAATAGGTCTTTTCCCCTATAAATGTTTAGTTGGTCACTTGGTTAACTCTTCAGTTCACCATATTTCTTTGCTAATAAGTGTGTGTGCATGTGTGGAGAGTGAGGGACAGCATTAACACTGCATCTCTCATTTCCATATAAACTGGGCGTCTTTAATTCTGTTAATCATTTTGAACCTGCAAGTCAGTCCTTTTGTCCATTGTTGAAACAGTTGGTTCTGGAAAACATGACAACATAAGCCACAAAGAACAAGCAGGGGGAGGGGAGTGGCGGGGGACGCATGAAGTCAGGTGATGTGGCGAGAAGGCTTTGTTCTGATCAGGTACTTGGGCAGCCTTCCAATCTTTGGTTATGCCATTACAAAAGAAATGCCACTCAGAACCTTTGAAACTGCTGACGGAAAAAAAGAGTCAATGGAACAAAATCTTGAACTTGGAGGAATCTTAGCTGTCCATGAGAGTGGTCCTGCTGTTTTCTGGGAACACGTGCAAAAGCAGAATAAGGGGCAACACACCAGTGCATTTCAGAATGAAGCTCTGCACTCCGGGAGAGCCAAAGCGAGGCTTCACCTAGCTCAAGGACCAAATCAATCACCAACACAGCTCAGATTTCAAACACGCTGATAGAGAAACCAGTATTTTTCAGTGAGTGACTTCCAGCATCTATTTCCATCCCAAACTGAAAGAAATCTGATAATAGCAAGGAGACTTCTCCACTCTCTGGGATTTGCAGGAGATAATAACACCTCTGAAGGATTAAAGGTATCATCTGCATTTCTTGCCCTATTAAGACCTGATTGTCTTTCAATTACTACCCATTGCTCGGTCTGTGGCTCTAAGACCCGACAGTAGTTAAGAGAGAATGTATTTATTGTAAAATCATGCATATTTTAATGGGGCTCCTTAGCACAAACTTATTTCTTAAGGATAGGATACTAATCATAGAAATTAGGGAACGCATTTGCAAACTTTAAATTGAACCTCATTGCAGCGCAGTAAGTTTTGAAGAAATGAACACCCTGCACCAAGAAAAGGAGATATGTAATGATCATTTCTTCATAAAAAGAATATAGATTAATGGTATAAAAATGTTCTCGCTCACTTCTAGGAAAGGTCTGTAGATGAGTTTGTTCGTTGTACACAAGGAGAACTATGTAGATAATTTCTTTTTGCCTTGGCATTCAATTGTAACACTTCCTTTTATGCATGTACCTGTAACCTCTATCCCTTCGTCTCTTTTATATAATCTCTTTTTTGTTCTTTAATTCTTAATTCTCCTATTTTATATAATATTTGATTTTATGAGATGCCTTGGATATTCCTGGGGATCTAGGTGTTTTAAAAATCCGTCAGATAAACCCTTTCTCCCCTGGGTGAAATGAGGCGAATTCCCTTAATATTCCATTATCACACACAGACATTTGCCACAGTCCTTAGGAACTTTCTTGTTGTCCTTATGTTCAAGTTGCTTCTTTCCCTGAAAGCTACCCTGTCCCCTTAACCTTCACTATCCTGTTCTGGCTCAAGTAGTGGCCTTATCGTGCCCAGATTACACCGTCTCCGCCCTGCCACGCTCTCCAGCCAAATTTCCCTTCCATTTAATCCCCAAAGTGATGCCAAGTTGACTTTCTTCATAGACAGCTCAAGGCCTCCAAGGTCACTCTCTGCCATGGCTGAAAGCTAAGGTTATGTTCATTCAGCCCCAGACTCTAATCAGAAGTGAGTGGCTAAAAGCCCAAGGACGGTGTGACCAGCCTCCCAGGCTGTTAGGCCCAGCCAGGTGAGTAGGTTGTTTTCTTCTGGAGGGATTTGAACTTTCCTTATTGAGACCAAATAGACAAGATTGAGCTTTTATTCCCAAGGATTGTTGTCTTATCTGCCAAGTCTCAGTCACAGGACAGGGGCTCCAGGAGTTCGCATGTTTATTACTGGACGTGGTGACAGCTGTTGACGCCTTTGGTCTGTGAAAAAGGGATTACAGATCCATCCAAGGACCATGGAAGAGAAGCATTTTCAGATAGAAAACAACAAAAATAGTTTGCTGTAGTACATGCTCTTTACCTGGTGCTCTTGACGGGACGTTCGCTTGGGACCTCCCTTAGCTACCCTCTGCATGTTGGCCGGCTCAGAGTGCCACTCACCAAGCCAATGTCATGTGGTCTGCTCATTTTCCAGGGCTGCTGGAACCAAGTACTAAAACTGGGTGGCTTCCAACAACATAAATTTATTTTCTCAGTGTTCTTGAAGTCTGGAAGTCTGAAATTAGGGTGTCAGCAGGTCCATGCTCTCTCAGGTCCATGCTCTCTCTCTGAGGCTTTGGAGGAGAATCATTACTTGCTTCTTCGTAGCTCCTGGCAGTTTGACCTTGGCATTCCCTGGTTTGTAGCGGCAGCCTTCCACAGTGTGCCTCTGCCCAACCCAAAGCCGTCCTGTCCCTTATGTCTCTGTGTCTTCACGTGACCTTCTCTTGGCTTAGAAGCATACTGTCACATTAGATTGAGAGCTCATCTTACTCCAGGAAGACTCCACCTTAACTAATTACATCTGCAAAGACGTATTTCCAAATACAAGGTCAGATTCTGAGGCATTGGGGTTAGGACTTTAGCATATCCTTTTGGAAGTACATGATTCAACCCATAACTCTGGGATGAGTGTAAGTTCGCGTCTCCCAGGCGCCCTTAGATACTCTGGGCAGGAGGAACAACTTTATCCTTAAGGTGGAGATGACAGTGTTGGGGTGGCATCAGGGTGTTGGAGAGAGCGCACGTCCTCACCTCTCCGGGGCTCAGAAATCACCCTTTGCTCTTTGTCTGAGCCCCGCCATGTTGGTCTGCTAACTGGCACGCTCCACAGCCAGTGTCCTGAGGACGCTTCTGTCTGTGTTTGTAGAGTGCGCAATCAGAGCCGCATCTGTGCCATTAAAATGCTTGCAGATCTGCCAGGAACAGGAATGGCAGGCATTTTCCACAAAAGTTTCTCTTCCTCAGTCAAGCCAGGAACTGTTTCTAAAAGCACCACAGAGGCACTGAATTCCCGAGGGATCCGTCTCTTTGCAGGGAGCCAGACTTGCCGTCAAGTGCCAACTTCCTCTACCCAGGTTCCAAGGCCCACCCCTCACAGGCCTAGTCTAGAAGAGCATTTGGCCGGAGGCTGGCTTCGAGGGAGAAGTGGGCAATGTGCTTCTGCCTGCAGATCGTACCCCAAGGTCATCCTTGGGACGTTGGGGGGCATTGGGAGAAAGCGGAGGGGACTGAGGACGGCTCAGGTTTGCCCGGACGCCCTAATGAGGAGCATGTGGGTGGAGAGGGTGGACGGGCCCACAGTGCTGACAGCCCCGAGCCAGTGGACCGCCACCCAGCCTCCCAGCTGCTGCCGCCGCTCCAGTCCCTGGTGGCAACTACCTGGGTCTTCCTTTGGTGCAGCAAGGGCATGCGGAAGGCCAAAAACAAGGAGCTCTGTGGGGCTACCCCAGGGCACAACCGAGGAGAGGGAGGGTGTCCTGGGTGCCTGGCCACACGCCGCCCCTCCCAGCACCCTCGGTCCCTTTGCCTGCCTCAGCCCATCTCAGCAAAACCTTGCTCTGACTTGGCTGGCTCTCGCCATCTGTGTTACCATGTAGATAGACATGAAGTAAATCTGGGCTCCGTGCTCAACATTGATCTCAAAACAAAAATCCAACAAGAAAGCCTTAGAAAAACGCTCTCTCTCCTGAAATCTTAAATAAGGTGGCAAAGATGGGTAGCAGAAAACAGCAACAAAATGTCTAAAAACTGATCTTAAGGATTCTCTCCCCAGCTGATTCCCCCACACTCTCTTTTCTCCTCTCCCCCTTCTCCAGCTTTTTAATCCAGGGCTTCTGCAGATCTACGCTATCCTATGAAAAGTGATCTTCTTTTTAAAAAATTTTATTTATTTATTTGACAGAGAGAGACAGCCAGAGAGGGAACACAAGCAGGGGGAGTAGGAGAGGGAGAAGCAGGCTTCCCGCTGAACAGGGAGCCCGATGCGGGGCTCGATCCCAGGACCCCGGGATCACGACCTGAGCCGAAGGCAGACGCTTAACTACTGAGCCACCCAGGTGCCCCTGAAAAGTGATCTTCTTGACTCTGCCTTACCATAATTCTGCTTCTGGACCCTATTTTTTATTATCAAAACAAAGACAGCAGAGCAGTGTGAACGGAGGTCTTCCTGTAGAAGGCTTGTAGGGGAAATATTTAACCAGTAATGATTTGAGTCCATACTACACTCCCAAAAAACCCTGAAAATCTTTCACTCCTCTATTCTATAGCTAGATTCTAACCCAGTATCAGCCGGTCATCCCATTACTGCTGGTCAGCAGTTACGAACAGCAGAATGGGAGAAGTTCAACCAATGTCTCCTCATCCTTGGGTAGTCAAGACCTCCTGAGGAGGGACTGGGGTAACTCTCTCTGAACAGAGATGCCGTGTCTGGAACAATTATCTGTGCATTTAAATTATGTGTTTGTGTGTCGTATATGTGTCAAGCTCAGATTTTAGCTCACGTTACTGCATCATGAGCCAGCTGAGCAGCCATCACTAGATTTCCTTTTATGGGCTTACGATTTCACACACACCATTCATTTAATATTAGACTTTTTAAATTAAAGTAATTAAAAAAAAAACAAACCCTTTCCTGATGTCTGACTCAAAGAGAAAGAATGGAAAGCTAAAAACAAGACACGACATCAGCTGAAATAAACTTGAATGCCCACCATGCTTTTTATTCTCAACCCTCATGCAGAAAGATCTCATTTGTTCAATGAACCAATTAATCCTAATGACTGTAATTGTCATTCAAATGACGTGAGTTCACAGGATAAAGATAAAAACAGTTTAATTCAGTGTTCCAGGAAAATAAAAGTGCTCATCAGGTTGAGAGGAGGAAGACACTAACCATTATAGTCCAGAAAAGTCTAGGCACCGTGTGCATCTGTCTGTGGTTCTTGACTGGGAATTCTGCCTGAGGCAATGTGCCCGTGAGCTGCCATCCTCCTTCGTCAGGCTTGGCCCCGCGTCCACAGCAAGCCCACACCTGGCTGGCGGGCCAGATGCTCACACACTGAGCTGCCTGCCGTGGAAGGCATTCACCCTGAGCCTGATAGAGATGGTTTACCACATTTGCCCTTGGTGCTTCCTGGATTGAAACTTCGGACTGTTTTTTGACTTCATTAATAATGAAGAGGGAAAGAGAAGCTCTTTTTCTGTGAAGTTGGATGATGCTGCTGAGTTTTATTTTTGTACCTCAGGATTTCTTTTTTCCTCTGTCATTCAGGAAAGCTTAATTAGATAGCCCTGGAAGATATCTTTGTAAACCTCCTCTCTGTCTTCTGATACTAGATAGGAGCAGTTTGAAATCATCTTCAAGGGATGAGCTTGGAAGTGGGGCAAGGGGTGTGGGGGAGTGGAGCAGGGGGTGGGGAGCCAAGCTTCCCCCTCGTGACCATGCGGAGGCCAAGTGACAGCACAGGGCAGGAAGACTGGCAGCGTGTCTGGAGGTGGGAGGGGTGCTCCAAGGCTCCAAGCTCCCATTACAGCTCTAGCTTCATAGCTCCCCAGCTTAAGAATCTATGACACGAAAAGCCCAAAATCCCATCTGGGAAGTAATTGCAGACCTCCTAAACAAGCCAGTTCAACCAGGTCTAGATTCTGAGGCTCAAAGATCCTTGTGGTTTATGGACCAAATGTCCCCTAAAATCAATGTGGGAAATAGCAGGTGATAGAAGCTTCTGGCATTTAAGAATGCTTTGATAAGATTGATTGAAATATCCCAGGGACCCAAAGAGGCTATTTTAGCACCCCACAGCTTGTCAGCACACAAGGGACACTCGCTTTAATCTGGGGGATTTTCACATTCGCTTTCTGAAGACGGTTGCCGTGACCTGAGGGTGTGTGAGTGACGTCATGTTTAATGCTGTTAAGCCATGTTTTGTGACAGTGGCCCACAGTTAGTGTGGCCAGAACCACAAATGTGTCTTAGTGACCTTTAGCTAGTATATAAAGGCACATGCAACAACAATCTCTTCTACTATGGTTTTTATTTTTCCATCTATTACCACTGAAGGTCATCTCTGCAGTCACAGCCGGCTAACGAACCCCAGAGCATTGTGCTGCATCTCAATCCAGTGACCTGTTTCACACTCAGCCACCCAGGCTCCTGCAGGCAGCACGCCACGTTTCAGTATCTCTCAGTGGGAGCTCGACTGGCATTTGGGGGAAGGAGGAAGAGGAGAGTGAGAGGGGTTGGGGTTCGGGCAGTTCATTGTATGGAGCTGTCCCTGCAGTGAGGAATGAGTAGCATGTCTCTCCCGCCACCACCCCCATCAACCACATTAAATCCCTCTGCCAATAGGCATTTCCAGATGTCCCTTTGGGAAAGAGAAACGCAGTTAAGAAACTATGTGAAAAGAAGTCAGTGAGTAATAAAACCTCAAGTGTCTTGCATAGCTGAGCATGAGGAACTGAAAAATTAGGACACCAAGTGGCCAGAGTGCATGGAGGTATCATTCTGAGTCCAGGCATTTTGCGCCCCATGGTATCCCAGAAGCTATCTTATTTGTAGTCTTGGATAAAGAGAAGACTTAAATAGGTGAGTAGAGAGAAGTGGAGATTGGAGAATCATTAGACCACTGACTGGTGCACATCATCCTGGTTCCCAGTGCCTGTCCCAGTCCCTGGATACACAAGCGGCTCATGAGATGTGCTGTACTCTCTGCTCTCGGAGTCCATGGGACTGCCCAAGTGCTTAAAATAAATCTTCTCCCATTTTGTGTTTCGGCTTCAGCTAGTTTAAGGTGTCTCAGTTATTTTCAACCAGGAAAACTTGACTCAGAACTCAGACTTGAAAGATTAATTAATAATGCATGAAGCTGATAAAACGAGTCATTAACACAGCAAAGTCATCGAGGAAATGACATCCAGATGGTGACCACGTTTGCCTGGAATCTGTGTATGGCCACTGTCCCTCTTTTACATCCAGTGTCCCTGTTTGATAATAAATTATATGGTCACCCTAGCCACAAAACGGACAACGAGGTCTTCATGAGGAAAGTTGACCTTAACACACGGGGGGACTTCAGATAAAAGAAGGAGGAAACA